CCCAGTCCCGAGGTCGCCCCCGCTAACTTCACAGAACACAAGAGCCGACGGGACCAATGGCTATGCATTCGAGGACCACAGTTTCAGAACCACTTATTTAGATAATTTTTCGAAATTCTTTCATTTGTACTGTTTTACCAGTCTGTTCGTTGTTTACCGAATTCACAATTTTTTTTAAATTTAAAGTTGTTTACATTCGTTACCGCTGTTTTCAATTAACAGGTCTGAAGCACATAGAAAGCATTAAGGACAATAGAATATTGAACAACCCAGGACGCAAATGTTTCGTGCATGGAAGCACTGAACAGTCATCTTACAGCTTAATCAGTAAACATTCTGACGTGAATTATATGACCATCAACGTGTTTTTGAAAAAAAATATAAAATAAAACGTTTCATTCTCCGTTATTTTAATGGTGGTAGGCAACACACTAGACAGCGGACTACTGAAACAAGGCAACTATCACTTTTTAATTCTGACATAGGAATTACAGGTACAGTTACTACAATTTTTAAAACTAATTTAATTAATTGACAGGGAATGAAAAAGACATTTAATTTCGTTACGTTTCATTCAGGGTTTCAAGATGAATCAGACGAATTTCGTCATCCCTGGCACACAATCACATTTTATCTATTCACCAAATCTGTCTGCTTCTCTCGTTAGAGAATATAGTGCCTGCAAAGGAAAATATTTGTAAATTTTGTTTCTTTCTAATAATTACAATATGATCGTCCGTACTTCAATTAATCCGGTTCATATAAATTTAATAGAATGAAACTGACATGCCCACTAAAGTGTTCTATTATGTTCCAAACCTGTCTTTACACAAAAAATAAATATGATAGATTTCGAAGTTAGAGTCACTGCCAGTAAGGTTATATTTTTAAAAAAGTAGATCAATCGACGTCTACAGCTAAATTAATACATTTTGATGATAACAGAACATCTGTATATTTCTTGTTAATTGTCAGTTTCCCACAATATAACACACTTTTCTTATTTGATCTATATAATAACAGGACTTTTTTGACAGTCACACGATCGACATTAATGCCTTCAGTTCTGTAAAAAAAAATTCTTCATGATTTCAATGCGGAAAATTTCATACAATATTCAGTCAATCAATTATTAATTGAATTAGGCGCTGTCTTGCTCATACGAATAATTATAACAGACAAGTGACATGAGATAACACGTTTGTCAGGCTCGCGTCATGCACTGAAAACCACCCCACTTCTGGCTGTGATTGAATTTTTTGGAACCCTATCTGGCGCCTTAAACGCTGATTTGATCCCCCTGTCGAAATACCCATGACAACGAAATTTTTGCATGCACGCTAATGGGACGACCTGTCATATTAACAGTAAGAGCGTGCAAGCGCGAACTTTGTCCTGTGGAAGACAGGACATAACAATGCACGTCGCAAACCATGCAATTCGAATACAGAGCGACATCTCGTTTCTCTTATTCACCACACTCAAAATATCCACAACACACAAAGTTCTGGAAACATAAGCAACCAGGCGTATTTATGCAACTTCCAGATGCAGAAGCCTCAAATAATAGCCCCGCGAAGTATCTTATTTTTTTTAGTTATTATTATCATAATTTACGCAGTTACACCCAATACTTATATAAATATAATGATGTGATACAGATAATTAATTGGATCATAATTGTCACATCTTCGTCTTATACCGTAACGTATCATGACCACCACAATGGAAGACTGGACTGGCTCTTATTATGTTTTAAAAACAAATTATTTTTCGAACACGCTCGTACAAAGTAACAATTCTCCAAGAGAGTTTATTCAAGCAGAACGAAAGAGTAGTTGTGCTATCTTAATGTTATTAAACTTCGAGCTAAAAGGGATGGAGATTTCATGTCACAGACGAGACACACGCGTAGACCTTTAGTTTCACGCATCTGTGATCTACCAGCGAACGCCTGCATTAAGAATTTAATTATGTTCTTTCATCGCCACAGAATTCTGTGTCGGCGAAGGCATTGCTAAGAGAATCGTGAGAGATTTATTGCTTTCCATCATACTGCACGTGAAACGGATCACTGGTCACATCGGAACTAATTGTATGAGTAGATAAGTTTAAACCCCGAATAACAATTTTTAGCCTACTTACACAGTTGATCTGTTTCGATTTAAATCTTAAAATTTCGATTAGTTTTTCTTGAATTATTTAAGTATGCAATATTAGCAGAGGTAATTGGATGTGAAATAAGATGAGAGTACAATACCAAATGGTGAGTAAGTAAAGATTTGGAAACTTTTTTCAAACTACATTTGTGTTTGCAAGGAGTAAGCAATATAAACTGCTAGATATTTCAGTTAACATATTCAATATCCTGGGCCGTCACATTTACTGATTTAAAAATTTGTTTAATTCACATTTCAATAAAGTCGAGTTTTCGTCTCATCTGATAAAGTAAAAACAGCCATATAGTTGGAATCCACGAGAAGGCAAAGCGACGGGTTCAGAAAGCCCGGCTGGGCTAGGCACAGTTGAGGGAGTCAGGGGGGCAGAGCCCCTGAGGCAGCAAAAGTGAACGGCCAGGCCCATTGCAGCAAGCATGCATGTGAAAGGCCCGAGCCCCAGGGGTTAAAAGCTAGGCTGGCAGCAGGCGTGCGGGAATTGCCCGGACGGGGGTTCTCCATGGGACGTAGTTCTCGAAAATGGCCTAGCCCCACGGGAGCAATTGCAGTCCTCCAGAGGCCTAGGTGATCTAACTTGTGGTGGTCGAAGCACAGAGTTTTCAGTGCAACGAAGGCAAATCCTGGGGGCCTTAAGGGGAGAGAGAGCCTCGCTGGAAAAAATCCTGGAGTGGAATTCTGCTTATGGCGTGGAGGAAAATTTCACTGAAGGTAGGGGGCGGTTGGCGGTTAAATTCCTTTATAAGTCAGCTGTTCTACCATTGAGGCAACGAGCTCGGCTTACTCTCTGAAACTCTTTATGTAAGGAGAACGGAAGGGTCCTGTTATCGCAGGACGAATACCTTACCCTCCTCATACTTCCGGTGTACCCATCGTCTCCGGTGGTGAGCGAGGTTAGTAATGTGGCTAGTAAGAGTGACCTCTCCAACCAGAGGTGGTCCATAACTCGTCCTCATTGGTCCTGCAACAATCAATTACATGCAGAACTTCAGTTCCAGTAATGGGAAAGAACAACAGATGATACTGTTGTTAGTGGGCAGAGATCAATGAACTTCTGTTCCACAGCCTGTAGTGAGATGTAGACTGGTAATTGCATTTCTCTGTTAAGCAAATATTAATCCCGTATTATCTTGCGCTGATAAATTTTAGTAACTTTACGCCATTTATATTGGGAGCAGTACTACTCCGTACATAAAATACAGGTGGAAGAACATTCCATAATTTTCGCCATTGACGTTACAGGTCTGGGGTTCACGTCCTAATGACCTGCCATTTCACTGTGGGGATATAAATAACTACTTTTAATTACTGTGCACGTCTTTCGGACATTTAATTATAATATACAATAATGTATCAGCTACAAAATTATCTTGGTAACCTGTGTATTATATCAAGACTGTACAGAAGAGAACAAGTGCCTAAGTGATAACGTGAATTATGTGGACACAAATATTTATTTATGTATATTACTATGTTAATAACTGCTTAAAAACATAACTAGGCGCATTATTATTAATTAATTATGCTCTTGCTGAAGTCAGTTCCTGTAGGTTTCGACGCTTTTACGGAGATTACAAGCTGGGTCTTCCGTTAGCATCTCAGTTGCAGCATGGAAATTATCCCACGATTTAAATGCTTGTTTACAAAGTTTGTGTCTTCAGAATTTCCTTACGTATTATAAACCTTAAAGATTCAAAGAGAAACACACACTTAACGTGCATACTTTGAAATGAGACACGTGCAATTTCCTGTTTAATGTATGGCGTTCAAACCATCTAATTTGTCTGCCGTCAATTGTTACTTACTTCGTACTATCAATGTTTCTGAAGCACAAAGCAACGTTAAAATCGTTACGTTTTCTGGTTAGTGATTGTTTCTCGGTTTTCCTCCCTTTTCCACACGTATCAGGCATAGAAGGTGTACTGTCACAAGCAACTGAGCGTACTTCAGGTTCAGTTGTAACGCAAGTATCTCAGGAGTATTTTGCTAATGTCCCTTCTTATTTGAAAGCACAGTAATTATTATTCATGACTCAATGTAAATGCATGGAATGGCTTTATTTATATACAGTCAGGGAATGACTGAATCTCGTCTGAAAATGAAATGAGGTGTAATAAAATGGCGATACGAAGAACATGAACAAGACGTGTTAGACGAAGTGTCTTAAGCATCGAAAACACAGAAGAAGTTATTCATTATAAAGAATAACAATATAAATAGACCCGCCTATTATTAGAGTGGCTATTCTTCTAAAATAAGAGTTTATCCTGAGAAAACAGATTTTTATAAATGATATTCAATATTTCATACGATCAAAATGCTTATATTCCCCTCGAAGTGTTTTCTAGGATAATGGTGATAATGAAAAAAAATAATCAAGCTATAGGGATAATGAAAAATTTACGAACTCATTATCTGATCAGTGTGTACAATATTGCAATTGCATTTCAACGTATCCCCGTAAAATGCAAATCATTGCCAAAATGAAAGACGCAGTTTTAAAGTGTTAAAATAAAAGTCAGTGCAAATACGATTAAAATTCAAAGCTGCATAACGAGGAGGGCCTTCTATTTCATTTACAAAATATTCTATTTTTATTTCCAAATATTCCATGGCAGTTCATACTAAACTTAATTTAATTTCTTAAAGATTTACTAACACTTCCACATCGACATAGCGTTAGTGAATTCGCTTCAATTCGTATCATAAACTTCTTTAGATAAGTCATCAAGAACACGATGAAAGTCAAAGGAGAACAGGTATGTGATGGAACCTGAAATAGGGGTATAACAAAAATACAGCAATTTATGTAAAACTAAGCATTTGCTGCTCATTTTAATGTAACCAAGAAACATAATAAGATTCCAGGTTCTCATGGCGAAGATAATTTATGACGGAGATAGTAAGCTCTTCTGAGACGTCGATTAATAACTACCAGGCCACACAGCGTAACATTATAGAAGGCAGCCATTTTCAAAGAATTACAAGTGACAGCAGAGAACGCTGCTCTTCAATAGATGCCATAACCAAGTCCCAGGACGGTACCGCAATGGGTCTGCACTCTAGGGGACGAGCTGGCGGCGAAGGGTGAATGCGCCTGCAGAACTCTCTGAGACATACGCAGACGGATACAGTATCTGGGCTGTGAGCACCACAAAGACGAAAAAAGCCAGTGATATTAACTCGATCTCAACAATACACGAAACACAGTGCAACAATGACAATCTTAATGATCGTTACCTTTTTGAGACATTTTAATGAGACAAACCTTGCCCCTGAGCTGCATAGTCCAGAAGCTACTTCTGAAACAAATTTTGATTTTTAAAACATGTTACTTATTATCATTATTATTATTAATTCTTCTTCTTCTGTCTTCACAGGTTTTGCTGTCACGTTTCCTCTTGAACCAATGGTGAATCCCACCTTTCAAGCTTCAAGTTTCTGATTGTAGCACTTTCCTTATAATGTGTGATTTTTTTGTAGAGAATCTATTGAATGGTTTCCTGGTATTGTTTCCAAATATTTTTCGGTCCTCTAATTAAAACTTCTGTAGCTCAAATGATTACCGGTGTGACAAAACATTTCACGTTCCACATTCGCTCAGTTTCTATACGTAATTTTTGTATTTTTATTTATCTTCAGACTCCTTCTGTTGCAGACTTCTATATATTGATATTACTACATTTAGCAGTAAGCAAATTTTATCTTCCACGTTTTTAATTATTATGTCTGGCCTATTTTCCAGAACCTCCCTAACAGTTTTTACCACTTGATTGTTATTATTATCATCATCGTTTGTTATTTTGGCTGTTTTATTTATTTATTTTTTGTGTTTGACTGTAATTGGCCTTCTTTGTCTGTTTTTAAATAAACTGAAATGAC